TTCGGCCTCACGAATGCCCCGGCCACCTTCCAAGCAGCAATGACAACGGAGTTTCGCGACATGTTGGACTGGTTCGTGCTCATCTACCTCGATGACATCTTGGTATATAGCCGAAATTTGGACGAGCACATCGTGCATCTACGCGCTGTTTTGGACAGGCTACGTACGACCAAGTACAAGGCCAACCGAGCCAAGTGCGAATTCGCGCAACAAGAGCTCGAATACTTGGGCCACTTTGTGACGCTGCAAGGCATCCGTTTGCTCGCGGACAATATCAAGGTCATTCAAGGTTGGCCGGAACCAACCAACACCATGAAAGTTCGATCTTTTATGGGATTGGTCGGGTACTACCAGCGCTTCATCGGAGGATACACATGGATCGCCGCGCCCTTGTCAAGATTGCAGTCTCCAAAGGTGCCCTTCCAGTTCACCGACGAAGTCCGCAGTTTGTTCCACAAATTGAAGACGACATTGCTCCTCGCTCCCGTCTTGAGTATCTTGAGCACACATACACAACAGGGAAAGTAACAATTTACTCTTGAGTGAAGAAATGGGTAATGCATGAGCTCAACACTACTAGAACACTAGAATAAGCAAGGATAGAAGCAACGATTTACACCAAAATGAAGAATTAAGCAAAATTTGGAGAGAAAGTGAGTAAAACTCACTTTTGATTACGTATACACAAAAGGGAAAGCAACAATTTCCTCTAGAGTGAAGAAATGAACAATGAATGAACTCAACACTACTAGAACAGTAGAATAAGCAAAGATAAAAGTAGCGATTTACACCCAAGTGAAAAATAAAGAAAAACATGGACAGAAAGTGAGTGAAACTCACTCTTGAGCACACACCATCAAAATGGAGGATAGCAATTTACTCTATAGTGAAGAAATGGACAATGGGGAGTCCATTATTAGTGGAGAAGCCCCCTTACTATTTGTACTAACCTTTGAAAAACATCTATGAAGAGATAGAAGATAAAAGAAAGTGTAGATGTTGGAACATGGGAGGATGAGAGAAGAAGAGGAGAAAGAAGAGCAAGAAGGAGGAGAAGAAGAAGAGGAAGAAGAAGAAGAAGAAGAAGAAGAAGAAGAAGAAGTAGAAGAAGAAGAAGAAGAAGAGGAAGAAGAAGAAGGAGAGGAGAAGAAACTTTTTTTTTTCTCCACTCATCTCATTTTGGATCTTGGAGTTGATGTACCAGTCTTGGAGTCGCTCCTCCTCACTTGGCTATGGCTTCCTTCTTCCTCAACCCTTCTCCCCTTCTAAGTCTCCCTCAAGTTACAACAAGCTCCTACCACTATGGCTATGGAGTCCTCTCCTTTAGGAGGGTTAATGAGACTCTCTCTAGCCTTGTCTTCTTCCTCACAGTCTGGGGTCTATAGCGAACCACCATCCTAGGCCAGCCTCACTACCACTAGCCTCTAAAGCTCCTCACACTAGCGCACAGTCTCCTCTAAGCTCTCAAATTGGCAGGGGTTCCCCTCTCCCCACTCCGAGTGAGAAAAGTGCTCCAATGAGCTCACTTGGGCAGCATGGGCACACCTCGTGCGAATGTGAGTGTGGCGTACTGAATTATCAACTTATGTAGGCTGAAACCAGCACTCCGGTCAGCCCATTAGGCTCCCATGTGCCTTGAGGTGAACCGAGGTACCCCCAAGGCAAAAATTCACCACTAGGCCCTTCCTAGGGTACGCGAACTTTATTTTGGCCAAGTACATGCAATCCGAGTGGTTGGTACCAACTCGGATTGCCTCTTGGCCTCCTCCAGCCTCTTTTTCACTCCCAAAATGTTGCCCCCGTAAGTCCAAATGCCCAAGGGGCAGCCTCAATTGAGAGAAAAAGGCCTAAATGGTATTTTTTCGTTTTCCGATTTTTTTTGAGTTTTTACCCAATTTTTTTTAGGTCGAGGTATTTACCCATGCCTCGGTGTCTTTTAAGCCTTGGATCTAGTTGAGATCCACGACCCACAATATTTCGTGTCACCCCCGTGTACTCCTTGCTTTAAATTTAAGCCTCTGTGTTCACTATTTCAATTTTTGGTGCATCTGGCCTTCTTTTTGAGTCAAATGCACAATTTTAACTTTCTATTTCTTTTGTTTCTTTCCATTTTGGGTTGCCAACTCATTCCGAAGTTGGCTGTTTGGGTAGGCCTCATCAAAAATGGTCATATTCTCTCCTGCATGGATCTGAATCTCAGATGCATGGCCCAAAAGAAAATCGGTCATTTCCCCTTTGCGTTTTCTCTTAATTTTGCCTTTTTAATTCAGCTATTGTAGAGATAATGCCTCAAGGGTCATATCTTTGCAATCTGGATTGCCGTCCATTAATTGTGGAGTGATGAGGTCACAGTAGAGACCTGCCAGTCCCTACTGAGTCAGTCCGAATAGGCTGGCACATTTTCCTTCACTCTTTTCTCCCCTCTTGTCTCATCCCTCCTCCATTTTTTTTTTTTTTTTTTTTCTTTTCTTTTATTTATGATGTGACAAGTGTCAAGTAGCTGTTGAGTCTTTTTCTACGCCATGGATCCTCATCCATAGCTAGATTCAAACTATGCAGTTAGCCGTTTTATCTCGGATTACAATAATGGCACCCCTATGCTCCTAGGGAGCTTCATTTTGTCTCCGTTAGTCTCAATTTTGGGCCCCCTTTGCTCCGATTTTCTTTTGACAACCTTTTTCTATATTGAGCCCCTGTGGGCTCTATTTTCTCATGCCTAACTGGTCCGAGATATCTCGGACTGCTGGAGAACCCTTCCATCATCATTATTTTGTTTTTTTTTCTCTCACAGCTCCCCTACTTGGCTCCACTAGTGTTTGCACTAGGGGTGATAATATTTTTCACCATCTAGATCTCGATCTTGACGGTGCCGTTTGCTTGCATGCTCATTCCTCATGTTGGTTCATGGTTACCTTGGGACATCTCAAGTCCCCGTCATTCTCCCGTATTAGTCTCATTTTTTTTGTCCCGTCGGTAGTCCCACCGACTCATGTTCCGTTTTTCAATTTTTTTTTATTTGGGCGTATTTAGTCCCCGGCAACGTCCCGGATGATGTCCCATTTTTATTTTGGGACCTCCTTGTCCTTGGTGGTTCCAATATCCCTTCCTCAAGTGCCCCACTCGTGTCGATCATTCTTGGCCGCAAGATCTCATCTCACGGTCGCCGTTTACCGCCTCTATTTGCCCTTATGCCGAAATCACTTTTTTTTTGCCCTTTTGACTTATCATGACTCATTTTTTCCTTGGCCTAGACATCCTTATACAGTCCGTTATTTCTCGGATTGCAACTGTAGTCATTTTCCTAGTCCCATAGCCCCACAACTTACCCCACACTGAAAGAAAATGAAACGCTCAATTTTTAAGTGCATCCGGGCTCAATATTGACCCCGGATGCACCTCACACATGTGTTTTCCCTTCCCCATGCAGTCCATTGCAACTCGGACTGCCATGGGGTTTACTTTCCTAGCCCCATTGCCCCACAACTAGCCTCCAACTGAAGGAAAAGGAAACGACAAACTTTCAAGTGCATCCGGGCTCAATGTTGGTCTCGGATGCAACTAAAACATGTGTTTCTCTTCCCCCATGCAATCCGTTGTATCTCAGTTGCATAGGGTCTTGCTTTTTCTTGATTTTCTCTTCAAAATCAAGAGAAAATCAAGATCCTTTGCAACCGCTATATTCCATAATGTATCTCCCTAAGTGACCGTTTTTCACCGTTAAGATTTTTTTTTCTCTTCTTTTACTTTTCACTTTTCTTTTTTTTTCTTTTTCCTCCTTTCTTGGACAGTAGGGACTTGCCAGTCCCTACTGACGGCCAACTCATTCACTCCCTTTCACTTCTTTTGTCTTACTCTCCCACATTTTTCTTTCCTTTTCTTTCTTTTTCTAGCATGCCAAGTGTCAAGTGGTCGTTAAGGCCCTTTTCTAGGCCCTTCCTCTTAGTTTTGACCCTCTCTATGCCCATGGTGCAGTCCGTTATATCTCGAACTGCAATAATGGTTTCCTCATGCCTATGGGAGCTTCGTTTTATCTCTATTTCTCTCGCACAGTAGCCCTTCCTACTTCGATTTTCTCCCGGAGACCTATTTTTCAAATGTAGTCTCTTTTGACTCCATTTTCTTAACGGAGGCTGATCCGAGATTTTTCGGATTGCTCCCATGCTTCCCTCTTCATGTTTCTTTACTTTTTATTTTCCTTTTGGCCCTTCCGTTTGTTACCACTAGTGCTTGCACTATTGGTGCTAATATTTTCAGCCGTCAAGATCTCGATCTTGACGGTGCATCTTGTTTTGATTGTATTTCCCTCGTGCCGCTTTGCCGTTTCTCTTGAGACCTTCCCATGTCCCCGCCACTTGTCCCGTCGGTGGTCCCCGACACTTTTGTCCCGTCGGTGGTCCCCGACACTTGTCCCGCCGGTAGTCCCCGACACTTAGCCCCGCCGGTGATCCCCAACACTTTGTCTCGCCGGTGGTCCCCGACACTTAGTCCCGCCGGCGGTCCCCGACACTTTGTCCCGACTATCATTATTTTATTTAGTCTCACGTGGTCCCCGATACTTTTCTTCAAGGTGTCCTACGCTCTTTTGACGACTACCCTCCTATAATGACTCTTTTTCCCTCGTCTTTTTCTGAGCCTTGCGGGTTCCGGTTTCTTCGGTCGTGGGGCCTCCAATCCGTGGTTTCTGTTAATTGTCGTAGGCGGTCCCCATGTTGGACCCTTATTTTCTAGCGTCCCATTGCCACCGGGCCGTCCACCTCTCGGCTTCCTTATTCTCTTGTCGTCCGCTGTGCCGCATTTGCAAAGTTAATGGGCCATATAATGGCCCCTTGGCCTTCGTCATGCCGAATTCCAATGACCCTCCTGGCCTCATGTTATGCCCGTATGTGCCCCTGTCCCGGTGCTTACTTGCTTATTGTTGTCGGTTCTTTCTCTCTGCGATTCTCAACCCAGGGCATCATTCCTTCCGACGGTCCCGTCCTAGTCCTTTGTCTTTTCTCTCTCTTGTCTCCTTACTCCGGATTTCTCTGTCGTGCACAATTTGGCTATATACAGGATCTCAAGTGCCGGGGCGTTATTCGGGACCCACCGGTCCCGACAGCGTCCCGCTGCGTAGGATCTTGGATTCGCAAACGCGGGACGTCGGGGGGTGGCATGATGAGGCCATGAGGTGCGGTGGCGCCCTCATTACCATTGAGGATTGCACAGTAGTAGTCTGCGGAATCGTGCACAACGTCTGCGATCAGGCGACCACGTCCACTTCCCCAGAATGTCTTCCCGTCTGTCCACAACTTCGACTTCGCCTCCAACTCCTCCTGCCATGTTTTTTTCTTCCTCATGCGAAGAGACTCGTCGTCCTCATCGTCCGGTCGCGGAGTGCCATCCCTGCTCTCGTTTTTTCTCCATGCCTCATCGGGCCCCCGTTTTTCTCGCCTTTCCCCCGCATCCGTGCTCAGCCCATCTATAGCACCGCTTCCTACATGCGAAAACGGGACGACTTCCCTTGACAACCCGCCGATCGTATTCGTGTTCGACAACTCCAGGTGGCGTGCTTGTGGCACATAAACGGGTCCTTTGTCCGCATGTTCAATAGCGGACACGATCGTTGTCATTGAAGTCACGAGCGTTTGTGGTGTCGACTCGCTGATGACGATCGCTTGAGAACGCACGCTTCCACTTCCACCACCATGACCAATTTCTGGCACACCAAGGGCGGCTAGTGCTTGAAAATGTTCCCTGATTACGTCGTGTCTCCCAAATTCAAGCGTCGGCGTCCCTGTTGAAGGGATCTCCACGACTGAGACATCTTCTTCCCCCTGGCCCCCCATCACACCCTCCGATCCGTCACTGTGCGGCCTTTTCAACTTCGGGACGTGCCCCCTTCCGCTTTGTCCGCCCCCGCCTTCGCTGGATCCGTCGTCTAGCGTTTTCAACTGGGACTGTCCACGTGGCGCCATGCACTAACGATCGATTTCACTGGTCCCTTAACCGAAGGCGAAGTGAGTTTGCCACATGTCGTGGACGATGGTGGACGAACAGATCGTGAACCCTCCACGTACTATGCCATCGACGGACGCGCACGTGAGAATAGCGAAGGTATATAGCGATAGGGCGAACGATGAACTCCTGGCGCCATGGAAGACAACCGTCAGGGAAAACAAGGACTTGACGCCTACGAAGCGTAGCACATGCGCAACAGCAGACCCGCACGGACCCTTATATTGCTTGGACAGACCTTCCCCTGCCCCGGCGCGCTCCAGGTGTGACGACTTAAACTTCCTACTTCCGAAAAACCGAAAACAAAACGTTTGACTACGTGAGCGATCCAACCCTCGACTATGCCATGAACCACGCCCCTTGAAGGAAGACATGCGGACTCAGCACTATCACTGAGGCACCGACGAAAAACAAGCGAGGAATGCAACGTCAATGCATGCATCAACATGACGACCGACTGCAGAGCTGAGGCGGCATCAGGACCTATCCCTGATGGTTTTCACGATCTCCATAAACGCACTGCACATCATCCTGTTCGCCTCGTCGGACGTCTCGTTGTGCCGCTTCTGGGCGTCAACCTCGCGCTTGAGTATGTCGCACTGCCGCTCCAGGATGGAAAATTGCCGCTTGCTTGCCCTCTGCACAGTGTCCGCCATCAATGCACCGTGCTTCTCCATGACTTCGGCGGTGGTGTTGAACGTCTGCTCCCGCATGTTCTTCCTTTTCTCAGCGTCGCCCGTGCTGCCTGCACTGAACTCAGACTCCCGCGCCGACCCTCCATCTTCATCGTTGCCATCACCCGCGTCTCCCTCGGCGATAGATTCTCCCGCAACCGATGGCGAAAGTTGTGTGTCCCCCGACATCTGCACTTCTCCACAGGCGCTCGTGTCAGCGAGGTTGTCTGGGTAGATGGTTTTATTGCCTCGAGACATGTTGTCGATCTCAAGGTACAGTCGCTCATCCCCACGGGATCCCCGATTTTGTTGACGCCGGCATCCACCCCTCCCTCCACCACGCACACCCAGGGGTCGAATCACCAACCTTTCCGCATTGTCCGCTTCGTCCTCGCAATGAAACTTCGAAGATTCGTCACCAGTCGCCCTTCGGGTGTCGTCCGCATCCGCATCGCTTCCAACACGCATCCTCGACACCCCGTTCGTTATGTTCTCAGCGGTCGGTCCGTGCATCTGTTGGCTAAAGGACTCCCACACATGCCTGGCAATTTCTTCCGGTGAGGTAGTGGTTGTGTTTGCTACCAATGCGGCCACACTCCGGCGTGGTGGGGGTGAAGGCATTGCCGAGTGAGGGGATAACACTGTCGTCGCCTTGTCGCCAGATGTTCCCGCGCCTCGAGAGAAGGAGGGTGTCGGACGACACCCATCCGCGATGCCATTCACCGGACACGACCTTGCGCCCCGCCCCGCCATTCCCGCCCCATGCAAAGACGTTTGTCGGACGGTCGTGGTGGCGACGTGGCTTGATGCACAACTGTTCCTAACCGGTGCAGCAGTCCCGCTTGACAAGCCGAAATCCAAGTCCACAATCTTTGTCTTGCCTCCGTCGATACCTTCCTCCAGCATTGCCGAGAACAAGTGGCGACTTCTCTCTGCCTCCCTTTGTCGGCAATGGCTGCCCATCCAATCCTGCATAGATTCGCTCCCCAGTGGCAGAGTGTGGGACAGATCCTCTAGCCACTCCTCTTCCGGATCCAGCGGTAACGGCTGCTCGTGTGGTGGCAGATGACTGTACAACGTGGGGTCATACGCGGGTGCACGACGCGCCGGTACCGCCCGGTTTGGAGTGGAGAAGTTGATCGCACGTTTGTGTAGTCCGCTGGAGGTTTCCCGCCTTTCCATCGTCGCCTTCCTCGCCGTGCGTCGTTTTCGTCTGCTCCCCAGACCCCGCACGATGACACATATTCGCAACGAGACCACAAGGACCAGGAGAAGAGTGGCCAGTAGCAGGAGCGGGACCCGCCGAAACGCGTCTGCCATGAATCGCAGCAGGCGAGGAGTGCATCGACCAAAGCCTGCTCTCGTGCGCCTATCAATGCCCGACAATGCACGCTGCCAAGGAGAACTGCAGTCGGCCAGAACTGCTCACACGTTGGCGGTAAAAAAATTGAAAAAGTTGATCGTTGGACACCACGCCCGACAACGCGCACAAGGAGAAGCCCGCCACAGGAACCGCCTCGGACCTGAAGCACCCCCACGCCTTTAGGCGCCAACGGTAACGACACAACGACATTGGAGGCGCGTCCTCTACTGGAGGCCAACAGTGTCCGCCCGTCTGAACCACGGACGACCTGTGCACCACGAAAAACTCCAAATTTTGGTGTCGATGCATGCTCCACGACGATTCGTCAATCGCGGCTCCTTGAGCCCAAGGGACCTCGCGAGGACCCCTTGAATCCAAGGACATCTTGGCTGGCGATTCTGAGGAACCGAAGGAAATATCTCAGTAGCGTTTTCACAGTTGTCCAAGGAATTTGGCGATTTAGGACGTGGTGTAACGATGCGGATTTCCTAAAACTCGGATTTCCAAGGAGGGTCTAACGATGCCCATAGGCACACAAAGAAGAACATTAAACCACCAGTACACCCGCACCTAAAATCCCGAAGCTACCTGCCCACTGCGCGCTGCTATTTTTCGACCTTCTGCGTGAGGGTACCTGCAGTGGGAATTTCGAAAGTGGCACGGGGGCGGTGGTCTTTTGCTACCCCCAGCTTTCCCGGAACTTTCTCCTGTTGAAATGTCCTTTCCATCTTCTCGGGTTCCTTCTGGTTTGGCGGACTCTCGATCCTTCACTGATCCCTCGTTTCGTTCCTCGCCCCCATTCATACCTTGGCTCCCCCTGCTCTGCTGATCATCGAACTCTTCTTCTGTCGCCATTCCCTTTACCTAGCCTGCACATGGAAAATGTTTTTGCGATGTTCATAACTGCTTTAGTCCCAGCCCTAAAACCCGCCTATTCCCATGTTTTTTGCGTCTTATATTAATCGGTCCGACTCTCATGACTTTTCTTTCCCATGGCGTCCTTCAGGTTTTTCTCCCGCCGGGGAACTTGCCGCCGCTGCTTGGCATTTTTTTCACTACCGCGCTTTGACTCTTAGGGCGGTGTTTGAGCCCGGTGGCCTCCTTATCGAAAAAAAAAGGAAAGGAACAAGCATGCCAGAGATCAATGATGTGGTCTTGGAGACCATACTTAAGTGATCACTTTCCAAAATGCACCTGACCACTATTACGGAGAGAGGGAAACATTGCTGTTTTTTCTTTTTTTCTCCTTTTGTTCTTTTCTTCCTTCCCTGCCAGCAAGGCAGCGCAAATTCCGCATGCTCAAAACGCCCTCGCTGAGGGCATGCTCACACTAGCCTCGTTGAAATGCATCCAACCACTTTCACGGCCAAAGCTCTGTTGACTTTTTTTTTTTGGTTCTCTTTGCGTGTCTGACAGTTGTGTCTCACTAAGGGCATATTCACACTAGCGCCTTTGAAATGCATCCAACCACTTCCATGGCCAAAGCTTTGCTGACTTTTTTTTTTTTGGTTCTTTTTTTGTGTCTGACAGTTGTATCTCGCTGAGGGCATATTCACACTAGCGCCTTTGCGATGCATCCAACCACTTTCACGGCCAAAGCTTTGTTGGCTTTTTTTTTTGGTTCTTTTTTTTTATGTGTGACAGTTGTGCTCCCCGTGTTCTTCATTGTACTTAAGTGCCCTCACTGAGGGCATACTAACACGGAGTACTCCAAAAAGTGTATCCAACTGCAATCACGGCCAAAGCTTGTTTTTCTTTAAGGGACATGTGGATTTGACATGGGCCCAAATATTTGAAAACCTTCTGACGTTCCGACCCTTCCCCGAGCCCGCCTTTTACTTCTTGTGGAGACAAGTTATTTTGCTGCAAGGTTGAGGCCGTGTACTGGTAGAGATTAAGTAAGAATGCCCAACTCATCGACACATCATAGCAGTAGGGGATTGGAATGCTGTAGTGGACCCTACCCTAGACTAAATTTCACATGCTAGAGACGGGATAGATGAATCCGAGGTGCTCCTAATGGCATAATTCATGATCGAAAAGGAACTGATAGACCCGTTCAGAACAGCCCACCCGGAAGCCAATAAATTCACCTGCACAAGAAAGACCCAACAGGGAAAGAGGTCCCTCCTCCATAGCAGACTACTTCCTACTCTCTGAATCCATATCAGGTGCAGCCATAGCAACTGCCATCTTCAAGCAGTCTTTCTACGGAGGTTTTGATCATAAGCAAGTGGGACTTCTGCTGAATTTTGGATTGGAAAACAAATCAGGACACAACTTCTTTAAGGTCAACAACTCTCTATCAAAATTAGAAGGTCTCCAACACGTGGTAAAACAATATTGGGAAGACCATTCACCATCATTTCAGGAAGAGAACATCCTATTAAATTTTAGGAAAAGGCTCCTTAGATTGAGCAAAAAAGTAAGCAAAGAATCAAGAAGAGAGGCGAGAAGAAAAAAGAAAGACAAGAAATATTGGAATCCATAGTAGAGAGTGGGCTGAATGGAAAAGGAGAGGGATGAGTTTAAAGTCAAGGATCAAGGATTGGGAGAGTAATGAATCAATGACCAGATTCTTTTTCAAAAAATCAAGTCTAATCGCAGGAACAATAAAATTCTAGAACTGAGAGATAAAGGAAATAGTCAAAAACAAACAGGACGAGCTAAACACAGCCGCAAAATTCTATAAGAATTTATACACATCTCAACATAAAGAAGTAAACAACAACTCTATCACGAGGGCAAAAAAGAAGTTCCTGAAACACCTAGACACCTGTGTCAAACCAGAACAGCCACATACTTGGACAAAGAACTCTCATTGGTGGAATTACATAGAGCACTTAGCTCTAACAATAATTTTGGCCAACGCTTAGGAAAGATCTCTTACGCTTTCTCCAAAATGCATAGAAAAAGGGAGGACTAGGGGAAGAAATGAGTACAAGGGTAGTAACACTATCATATAAAAAAAGAGAGGACCCCAGAAAAATAAGGGAGGAAGGGACAACGACAGGTCGAGTCATCGGAACTCGGAGGGGACCATGCCCAAGAAAACGAAAGTCTCGGACGCACGTCGTAAGCTGGCGGAAATAAAAAAGCGAACCGCAGAATATAAGGCAAGGTTTATTGAAGAGATGATGGCAGGGAACGAAGGAGACCTTCTGGGGGAAGGGTCACGAGAAGAACGCAGGGCCAATCAGGGCGAAGTCAAGCACGGAGGGAAGGACAATAGCCATAGGGGAACACCCGACAAGAAGGGAAAGGAAAAGGGGGACTCCCCGACCGTAGAAGTGGAAAAGGCTACGACCCCACCTGCTACAGATATTAGTGCTATCCGTTTGCCCGCCATACCGAAAGTAACCAAGGGGTGCGACGAACTTTGGAGTCTCAGAGAGAGGGTGTTAGGATGGTTTGATCCAGAGGGTACGCCAAAGGCCGGGGAAAAGCAGAGGGATAGCAAGGAAGGAGACGGGACCAGTGCGGTCGGTGAAGCGGGGAGCTCTGAGGGGGGCCTCAAGAGGATAGTAGCCACCCTTACTCGGGCGCTGAATAAAAATCAGGGATATCTTGCGGATGCCAGGAAGAAACTTACTTTCGATGGGGCAAATATAACGGAGTTCCTGATAGACTACGAGAACCTGGCAGCCTTGCTGAAATGGACTGAGGAGGAAAAGATGGACCACTTAGGGCAGCATGTGTCGCTAAGCTTAGGAAGGGATATTATGACTATTGTCGCCTCTAGTGGATCTTGGAAAGAGACCTGGAACGAGATGATGAGGAAGTACCTCAAGGCTGAGAAAATGGCAACAGAAGCCGAATTGGCGGCAGTCCAAAGGAAGAACTATGCGACTTACAACGACTTCCTAAGGGCGTTTACTCTAGTGGCACTACGAATTCTCGGGGTAACGGACCGTATAATGAGTAAGTATTTCCTCAGGTAGTTCTTCGAGTTCGACAAGGATAAAATTTTGTCGGCCTACCAGCAGACCAGTAAGTTTGAGTACACACGGGATGTGGACTTCAGCACGGTAACAGACCTCACGGAGAAGACGGTGGTGACTGAGACGCTAGCCCTGCTTAAGGAAGGAGAGGTTATAGACTTGACCGGGAAAATGGGGGATAAGGTAAAAAAAGGGATAGAAAGCCTGCATGAACGGGTGCACGAGGTTGATAGCAAGATGGAAAGAGTGAAAAATGCGCTACTAGTAATGCAGGCGCAAGTATCCCGACCCGCCCTCCCGCCCCAAGAGGCCGTGGTTCCGGCGGCAGTAGCGAATCGAGGGTATGGCGGGAGAGATCCGACCAATGAGCAATGCAGGTATTGCACAATGATCGGACATTTTGTACGGACCTGTCCGAGACTCAACCACGATATTATGAGGCAAAGATGCAGCAGGTCCCTTAAGGGTGAAATTTTTGGGCCTCAGGGAGAACGCATAAACTGGACTTCGCCACGAGGGATGTGGCGTGCCGTCATCATCCTGAATAACCTAGATATAGCTGCCGTAGAAGCCGAGCCGGTAGCTGACATTGTTTGGGACCAACCGAGGGGACGCGGACTACAAGTCAATTTCATCTTAGAAGGTAATGGACAGGATAGGGTGAACATCACCACCCGACGGGCAGGGGCGGAAAAGAAACTCATCCGAGATACGGAAATGGAAGAGGTCGCGGGGACTAGCGCAAATCAAGGTGAAACCGAAACCGAGGAGCTCGAGAAAGTCTACGGAAAGACAAGGGAAGAGGAACCGATAGACAAAGCGGTGGCAGCAAGGAAAAAATTCAGGTACCAGATTCCGATTCTGACTATGCCAGAACTCGACGATACACTTGGCAAACTGCTAGGTACCATGGTATCTGTATCCTTTCAGACTATGTTGCAAGCAAGCCCGAGATTGCTTAAAGGACTCAGGCAATTACTGACACGCCGACGCGTAGAGGTAGAGGAGGCCCCGAAACCACAGGAGCAGGAAACGGAGGAGGCTGAGGCACCGCAAGGGGTCTCCAATCTCCAGAGAATTCCAGGGGATCTAGAGGATCTGAAAAAGGCTTTTGCGGACATCCGCCTAAGCCTACCGGACCAAGAAGGTGGTGAAGTCATGAGGGCACCACCCGGGACGAAACTTAGCTTCCATGCACTGCCCGTAGGAAAGCTGAAAGTCCAGATCAGAACCCACCATACAGACGCATTAGTGGACAGAGGTGCGGAAATTACCCTCATACGACGAGACTTCGCAACAATTATGGGCTGCACAGTAAACAAGGAAGTGACGGGGAGTATCCGAGGCACCGACGGGGAAATTCTCTTCGCAGGGTACGTTACGAAATGCGTAGTCAAGGCAGGAATCAGGGAATCAATCTGGTTTTTTCAATGGATGACCGTAATGGAAGAAATGAACCATGACATAATTATCGGGAGACCGTGGTGCCACAACGTAGAGATGATAGGTATGCATCTGAATGATGGCACGTACATGGTGGATATAGAGGACCCCGTGACCGGCCGCGGAGAACTCCGACTCCTTGGGACCGGAGGGGATCCGCCGAAGGGCAAGTTGGTAACCTCGTTGCCAACGTTCGAAGACAGTGCGTGAAAAGGGGCATTCGCCCGGATGGAAGGAATGAGGGAAAAAGTGGAGATCATGATTGAGGAGGCCTTTAGCAAAAGGGAGTGGATCAAGATGGGGCTACCTCTAAAGAAAAGGAGACAAGAGGACGAGGTTCTAGGTGTTATGGTGGCAGAGAAGGAGTCGGAAGTCGAACTTGGGGCCAGCCTGCCTAAACCAAAGGAAGACCGGAAGGAAACGTCCGAGGGAGTGCTCGAAATCCCAGACTTATTACAACTCGTTAAGGCTATCAGGTACCACAAAGTGGGGGTGGACCCGGCAACGCTTGCCAAATTCGAAGATGAGGTCCGAAAAGGCTATTGTCTGAACGGAAAGGTAGTCAGTCTTCAACCCCGCGTCATGGAGGGAGCAAGGCCGATCCCGACCATGGAAAAAGAGCATTTTTTAGGAGAACGATCCCAGAAGGAAGTGTGCGAAAGTACAAACCAGTAGGAAAGAAAGTCAAGCCGGTCTCAATCCTAGTGAAAACATCCAGGGAGGAGACCATGGAAAAGGAGGAAGAAGTCATGCGGATAATAAGGGAAAGACGAGCAGCAGAAGGGCATCAGATACCTGATGAGATAGCAGACACCATGAAAATAGGGGTAGATGGGTTCCTAACGATGGAAGAAACTCAGTTGATAAGGAAAGCGTGTCAGGAATTCCATTTAGTTTTTGCCTTCAATGACCACAAGAAAGACCGATTAGACGCAAAGCTAATTTCCCCCGTTAGGATCCACACGGTGGAACACAAATGCTGGAATGACAAGGGGCCCGCCTACGAGTTCGGAATAGCGACGGAAGTCACTCAATTGCTAAGAGTCAAGATAGATTCCTTCGTAGCCGAACCCACCACATCCCCCTACGTGAATAAATGGTTCGTTTTTCGGAAGCCCAACAAGACGCTCAGATGGATCCAGGACTTGCAGAAGCTGAATGCGGTTACAATCCGAGATGCGGGATCACTTCCACAGGCAGATCTGCTGGCCGAATCTCGCGCTGGCCATAGCATTTACTCCTTGATAGATTCATACTCAGGGTATGACCAACTGCCACTCAACGCAAGGGACAGACCATACACTGTCATGCACACCCCGGTAGGACAGCTGCAGATGCAAGTAACCCCTATGGGCTTTACAAACGTTGTGGCAGAGGCGAAGAGGAGGATGCTTGCGGTCGCAGGGGACACGTTCCCGGAGAAATGCAAACCGTACATAAACGACAATCCCATAAAAGGCGTGCAGAACCAAGATGAGACATAGGTTCAGTCGGGCATACGAAAGTTCGTCTGGGATCATCTGCAGGACATGAAGGATCTACTCCAGCGATTCCTGGTGTATAACATCACCGCAAGCGGACCAAAGAGCATCCTGGCGGTCCCGGAAGTAACTATACTGGGATTTCGCTGTGGGGCTTATGGAAGGAAACCTGACCCGGCAAAAACGGATCAGATCTCTCAATGGCCAACACCACGGCGTACCACAACGGAAGTACGAGCCTTCCTAGGGGTGGTTGGATTCTGGAGAATCTTTATTAAAGGCTTTGCCAAGATAGCTGAGCCTATCCGCGCAATGATTAGGGAAGGAAGGACCATGGAGTGGACCGAGGATAGGGAGGCGGTAGTCCTGACCCTCAAGGACATCCTGTCCTCCGATCAAGTCACTTTGGCGGCACCCTGCTTCAATGACGAAGCAGGACGACCCTTTATCTTGGAAACAGACGGAGGTCCATTGACAGTAGGAGGGGTCCTGATACAAAGGAGCGAGGAGGGTAAGGAGAGGCCTATCAGATTTGAGAGTAGGACCCTGAATTCGGCAGAGCGGCGATACTCACAGTTGAAGAAAGAGGTCTTAGCCATTCTACATTGCCTTAAGACCTTTCAGGCATACCTATTCGGAAGACGATTTATCCTGAGAATCGATCCGACCAATGTCGTCGGGGCATTAAGGAACTACAAGCCTATAGACCCGACCGTTGGGAGATGGATAGGGTTTATATGGCAATTCGACTACAAGGTCGGGCGAATTGCGGGGCTCCGAAACAGGGCAGACGGGCTAAGTCGGGTTTGCATTACGCCGGAGGGAGTAGAGGATGTAGAGCCGATCGATGACTTCCTGGAATACGAAGGGGGAACCCTTGTTGTAGATAACGAGATGGCGGGCGCCGCGCCTACGACATCCCAGTTGCTGATCCATACCTTGGGAAAGGGCGCGCCTGCAGTAGTTGCGGAACTCAGGGAAGGACCAGTCACCACGATTAGACGCAAAGATGAGAAGGATTCGTGGGGGGCAACGGTCGGGACGAAAGAGGAGGTGATGACAATGGCCGTTGAAGGGGGCCGAAATGCTGTGATGAATCTAGCAGAAACATGGACGCGAAGAGAGCGGCAGTATCTAGTGAATCAGGCTCAAGAGGAGCAAGATACCAAGCAGGAAGGACAATAATTTTTCCTTGTGCAGATGTATGATGACATCTTTAGAGAAATCGGTCTCTTGCTTATAGGAAACAAGCAGCCTATAGAAGTCAACCTCAAGGCAAGGGAGGAGGCAGAGAGGTATGTTTTGAGGAATGACCACCAGTTCAAGAGGGAGGAAGGAATGATGCCTAGGCGTGTCGTGTGCGGAAGGTCTAGGCAGTTTGACATAATTCAGGCGATGCATGATGGGCTAGCCGGAGGGCATCGGTCATCCAAAGGGACCCTTGCAAAAATCACGCCTCTTTATTTCAGGCCAGGTATGGCAGACATGGTGGCCACGTACTGTCAAACATGTATGATATGTGAGGAAAGGAGCTCCGCATGCGTTTTCGAGCCCCTTACACCTACTCGGGTGCTGGGGCCGGGGCACCTGGTCCACCTTGACCTTGCGGTCATGCCTGTATCGACAGATGGGTACAGGTACATCCTGGATGCACGAGATAACCTTAGCGGTTATGTAGAAGCAGTAGCTCTTAAGAGAAAGGCGGGAAAGGGAGTGGCCGACTGGATAGAAGACTTCTACCTAAGGCATCCTTTTGTGCACAGGTTCATAGCGGATAATGAGACGAAATTTGTAAATCAAGAAGTGTTAAGCAGGCTCAAGATGTTGTGCGTAGCTATCAAGATCATCGAACCATACCATTCTGAGGCCAACGCACCTGTAGAAAGGGGGCACCGGACCTTGAAAAACACAATCGTCAAGTTAGCAGCAGATGACCTGAGAAACTGACCTCGGTACCTTAAGCAGGCGGTCTTCTTAGAGAACATGACGCCGAAGAGGACGACAGGGTGCATTCCGGCAGAACTCTGGTACGGGAGGGAGATTGATTTCCCAGTGGAAGCCTTGATTCCTACCTGGGACAGGCTAGATGACAACCCGCACATCTCTACGGAGGAACTAATCGCCGCACAATGCCAACAGGTCATTAGAAATGAGGAAGCCTTGGAGGATATAGTTAAGCGCGTGATGGATAGCCGAATAAGGGACAAAGCAAGGTGGGACCAGGTCAAGAACATCCGGAAGGAGCCGCTCCATGTGGGGGAAATGGTATTAGTTAGGAACTCGGCGCTTGAAAGCACATGGTCTGGACAGCTGGGAACAAGGTTCAAAGGCCCCTACAGGATCGCTAAGCGGGTGGGACTGAACACTTTTGAACTTGAGGATCTTAATGGTACTAGGATAAAAGGGTCATTTCCGGGACAGAGGCTGGTCAGGTTTTTTAGCAGGGATCCGGTGGAGCAATGGTTACAAGAGGCTCAGGACAAGGAAACAGGGGAATTGACAACTTGAAAGGCAGGCAGCTGGCCGTAGCTCTGTCCCGCGCCTTTGCGGAAGTGATCATGACTGCAGGGGTTGTTCGTTTTCTTTGTACGCTTGTTTTTGGGGCATGGGATGACTGCTTGGGCGGAATATGGATAGGGTTGGGATCCTGGGACAATGTACTATGGTTTTTGTGGGGCAATTTTGGGGACTGCCTATATGGGGTACCTATGTGCTGGGACAATGTACCAAAGTTCTTTTAGGGATAATGGGACTACCGCCTATGACGCCACTCTGAGAGGATCACCAATCATATGGGGGCAAGCAAGGGCTCTGGGCAAATTCGCAATGGGGGTAAGGGGGAATTTGTATGCATGGGGTTGTTGTGGTTTCGTTATGAATGAGCAGGACCAGGGAAGAAGAGAACAGCCAGAAAAACAAAGATGAAATTTGGAAACGAGAATGACAGCAATGCCATCAACAGGCCTAGTGAGGGACAAGGGGCAAGGCAGGCCGGAGAATCGAGTACGAGAAAAAGGAAGTTGTATGTGGGTTTTGATTTCAACTTGGTTGTAGGCAGAGGAGGATGGAAGCAAGGGACCAGGGGACCCTCACCCCTAAGAGAGGGGGAACCAATAGAATTCCCGTCCGATGGTGACAACAGTAAGGAGGAGAATGGAAGCCCAGGGAAGAGGCAGAGGTGGTATGAGGAAGAGCCTAACGAGGTCATAGACCTCAGTAGTGGGGAGGAGGATAACGAGGTCACAACGCCCACAAAAGAAGTACGGGCAAGGGATGAGGACCCAGGCGAGGAGAAGGACAAATGGATAAGAGAGTTTGGGCCGTCTTGCAGTGACTCGTTTGATCAATGGGTCTGTATCATGCGGTATGAGTGGGCGATCAAAGGAAAAGAAAAGTTAAGCAGGGGAGAAGATATAGCGTCAACAACCTTCTTCACAGAAGAGGCGCTCCTTGAATTGCAGAAGACGAAGAGAAGGATGCAACATGAAATCGAGGATCGTGCAAATGAGGCTCAACACAGGGCAACGGGGCGACAGGGGGACAAAATACATAATAGGGATTAGCCAGAAAATGGGGAGTATGAATACTCGGGCAGGCAGAACTGTCATCTTGGCCTTTGCATTTGAATTTTCTTAGGAATAGACCACAACGGGATAACTTTTGATTTGGGATATGACTAAGGATTGGGCGGTCAGTGCTACTTTGCATAAGTACTTGCTTCTTCAAAAGAATGTGAGGACCAACGGGCTTGAGCTATGAAGGGCTAACTTCGCCCAGGAAAAAGGGGAAAGGGATACCTGGATAAGACAAAACGAAGGCATTGTCATTTCTGTATTTGAATTTCTAGAAGAAAACTGCAATAGCACTGCTCTTGGGACTGGGGAAGGAATTGGGACTAAGTAGCTAGTGCCATTTCGCATGAGTACCTGTTCCTTGGGGACATTTGAGGACTGATGAGGCTGAGATGAGAATTGGGAATGGGTGACTCTGTTTTGAAAAAGCGAAAGGGGAAGGATTGTATGGGCTGAGGAAACCCAGGACAAAAGTGTTTTGCAAAAATGTGTGATTGACTTCGAACAAATTAGTTATGTCATGAGTCTCCGTGAGAGGTTAGGGAACCTATAGGTAAAGAGGCATCAAGAATCCTCTTTCCTAGAAGCCTAATCCGACCTGTCCCGAATGAGTCCAGAGCAGCAAAAGGCATGAGAGGTCAGAGAGAGAGAAAACAGTGATGGCACATACTCCCTTCGCTATGGTTGAACGACCGGGTGGGCTAGTGCTGCTTGGGGTTGCGAGCCTCAATTTGAGCACTAGATGCTAAGTCGGATGTATAGATGGACATGGGAATGATGATTGACATGGGACAAAGGAAGAAACATGTGTAAAACCCAAGAAGATGACCACCTTCTAACCCCCGAGACAGAGATAGGATCCGTGTCCTTGAGGCCCACCCCCTCGGGCGCTAACATTGGAATGGATAAGGATGACCCTAACCAGTCTGTCCGATGGAAATGGATAAGGATGGTCCTAACCAGGCTGTCTGATGGAAATGGATAAGGATAGCCCTAACCAGGCTATTCGACTTGAAATGGATAAGGACGGTCCTAACCAGGCTGTCCGATTGAAATGGATAAGGATGACCCTAACTAGGCTGTCCGATTGAAATGTATAAGAATGACCCTAACCAGGTTGTTCGGAATGACCCCTGACAAGGGTCATTCTTTGGAATTGGCACTGGGGTCCCCTTGCATGGCTGTTTGAGATGGATGAGATCGAGAAGAGCTGAGCGTTGGAAAAGATATTGGACTCAACCTTGGAAAAGATATTGGACTCAGCTTTGGAAGGGATATTGGACTCAACTTTGGAAAAAATACTGGACTCAACATTGGAAGAGATATTGGATTGGGGCTTGGTATCGGACTGAGCATTGGAATTGGATTGAGGCTTGGAATTGGATTGGGCATCGGAATTGAACGGGCATTGGAAATTGCATTGCATAAACAGGGGACCCTAGGCAACTTGAAATGGACTTGGAAATAGCACTGAAATGGATTTCTCTTTTCTTCTAGTCCTTGGCCTCAGCAAGAAGGGGGTACCGGTGCTTGCATCGCGACCTCAAGACCTGTATTCCTTAAAGGGAAAAGTCTCAGCGTGACCTGTTCCTCTTACAAGGGGATGAGGGTTAAAGGACCAAGGCACCTACCACTTGGATCGGTGCGGGACGTCCGGAACTGACCCCGACAATGAGCTCTAGTCGGGGAGTTCAAATTGCGCTTCGTGTTGAAAGCCTAAACGTCAAAGGGTGAGAGAACCAAATGGGCGAGAGAGTCATTCTTATTTTAGTCTATTTCGCTACTCTCCAACCACACATCATACCATAGAGGGGTGACATGGTCGTTTGGGTCCGACCTCGACCGGCCGCACTAAGTTGGGTGACACTGTCCAAGGGGAGGGGTCGGGCGAGGTACCAGGTGGAGGCCACCACTACCACGGGACATTGACACTGCGCTGCCGGAACATTACAACCGTTTCGAGACTAATTGCGAGGTCTTCGTAACTGCACTCGCGAACTAATAAAGAGCCCCAACTCTCTTGAAAGGAAGAGGCCGGATCCAGAAAATTACCACTCGGGAGGAACGATTCGCGAGGAAAACTCTTACGGATAGACGAGGCCCTGGAAGGCCTGGACTGGACCTACCTGCTAGATGTGAGGAGGAACCTCAGTGTTGGTGCTCGCCACGTAATAGTAARAGGTCGGATCGAGTAGGAGGATGAGGCGCCACCCGCTGGGGAGGAACTGATCACTCTTCCCTTGTGAAGCGGATGGGCTTGTGTCCTTGACTGCGGTCGGCGGGCCAAAGGTCTGCTTACCTCCGAGTGAGAACCAGTCGCGCGATGGGGACATCGCGTTTTGAGTGGGGGGAAGGTGTGCCATCTACCAATGAAAACGCATGAAAAGACTTGTATAATTGGCCTTGCATGGGCCTGAGAAAGGGGGTCTGGCAAGATGCCCAGAACAGAAGAGACTTGTGTAATTGGCTTTGCATGGGCCTGAGAAAGGGGGCCTGGCAAGATGCCCAGAACAGAAGAGACTTGTGTAATTGGCTTTGTATGGGCGTGAGAAAGGGGGTCTGACAAGATGCCTAGAACAGAAAAGACTTGTGTAATTGGCTTTGCATGGGCCTGAGAAAAAGGGTCTGGCAAGATGCCCAGAACAGAAAGGACTTGTTTGATTAACTTTGCATAAGATTGAGAAAGGGGTCTGACAAGATGCCGGAAAAAGAAAAAACTTGTATAATTGACTTTGCATGGATCTGAGAAGAAGACCGGCAGGGTGGGGAACGGATGAGTAATTGGCTTGCATGGGCTTAAGAAGAAGGTCTGGCAAGGTGCCTGGAAGAGAGATCCATAAGGGATGAACCAAGTATCGCACGTGGAAAGTTAATTAAGCAAGGGGCAAGAAAGGACAAAGGGTGATATGCATGCGAAATTGGCAGGACCTGAGAAAGGCCGGGTAAAATGACCCGGGAGAAATGTATGTGGATTTGGCTAGGCCTGAGTTTCGGAGAAGAGGTATTGAAAACATGGATTGCACGGGCCGAAGGACCCAAAGGAAAGAAGTATTAAAAACATGGATTGCACGGGCCAAAGGACCCAAAGGAAAGAGGTATTGAAAACATAGATTGCACAGGCCGAAGGACCCAAAGGAAAGGGGTATTGAGAATGATGGTAACCAAAAAAGGAACCTGGCTGGCATGAGATGAGAGAAGAGAAGTCCAAAGAGGATCCTTTGACTCCCCGTACCCTCCTCCACCCCAAGGGGTGGAAAACTAAAGAAAACCCTGAGAAAGGAATGGGAAAGGAAAAAAAAAAAAAAAAAAACCTAGCAAGCTAACTACCGGTCTCACCCCACCCCCTTTTCCCCTTTGTCTACCACTCCAAAATCCCTACTGACTATGAATTGGTGCGCGATGAGGACATCGCGAATGAGTAGGAGGAATGTGTCGGAACTGGTGAGTCCCGAATAACATCCCGTCACTCGAGAAACTATATATGGTCAATTTGTGCACGGCAGAGAAAACCGGAGGCAAGAAGGATGGAAGAATCGGAGGCATAGGCACAGGCATTCGGGGATCTAGAGGCTGCCCAGAGTCGTTGGGGCCGGTGAACCGAGAATAAACTAACAGAACGGGAAGCGGCAAAGGACCGCAAGAAAATAGCAAAGGCGACCCTCCCCCTGAAAAGGAGGACCGCCGAAAAAAGTAGTGTCGTAGGATGTGTACCGCAGGGAGAAAAGAAATCAGAAAAATTGAGAAGATTAGCTGGGCCAAGAGGGCCGCCGAGATGCAGCACCGAGTGAGTGGGCCAAAGGACCATCAGCGGGTGAGGAGCCACAACAAGAAGAGCGGTGCGCGGGACACGAGAAGGACAAGGGGAGGAGGCCGCCATAAGGCGGAAAAATGACAAAGGTGCCGGAGACCACCGGCGGGACATGTACCTGCGGGACCGCTACCGGGACTAGTACTGGGAACTAGCGCGGGACCAGTGTCGGGGACCACATGGCACTAAGTAAAAAATTGCGGTATCGGGACGAGTACCGGCCGGACCACCGGTGGGACAAGTACCGGTGGGACCACTAGCGGGACTAGTGTCGGGGACAAGTGCGGGACAAGTGGCAGAAACTTGTGACGCCCCAAGGAAAAATTGTGGCACGGGATGTGGTGCAAATAATTAAAGCGAGTTGCACCGTCAAGATCAGAGATCTTGACGGCTAAAATTATTTGCACGACTAGTGCAAGCACTAGTGGGAGCAAGTGGGAAGGTCAAAAGAAAAAAAAAAAGAAAAAAAAAAAAAGTGCTAAAGGCATGGGAGCAATCCGAAAAATCTCGGATTGGCCTCCCCCAAGAAAAAGGAGCCAAAAGAGGCTCCATGA